ACATACCATTCTGTGTGAATTTCACCCAATTATTCCGAGCGACTCACCGCAGGAAGTGTGTAATACTGCACCACAATCATGCACAGATTTCTTAGTTTCTGAGTCAACCTGGTCTTTGCAACACATGATGTACTCCCCGAACATGGCCCAGGCCACACAGAAGGGTTTTATATTATGTCTAATAATGTATGCAGTGCTCTGTTTGTCTGAAAGACTGATGTCACATCACGCTGAGTGTGAGTGAAGCTGCGAGCGCAGTGTGAACACCTCTTTGCAGTTTTTGGAGCCGATGAGGCGAGCGATGGAGCAGAAGTTGTTGAAGTATGTTCCGTGAAGGACTCTGAAGAGAGACTCCTCAGCTCCGCTCCACTCCAGCACACAGCCTCTGGGCTCCGGCTCGGAGTCTTCTCCCACACGCAGTTTAGTGGGCGTCTGACTCCGAGAATTAGCCTCTGTTACAGACAGAGCACACACACAGTCCTTTAGTGTGTTAGGATCATTCAGACTGTGGCTGACGGCTCAGCAGTCACACTAAATCTGTTTTTGGATTTCAGGCTTGGTGCTGGAACACAGCAGCTGCAGATGGACTAATGTTGCTTGGCAACAAGACTAAAGCAGAGAACACATGCTCCTCTTCTAAGTGTTTTATTAATCTATTCAACAATCTGCTTTCCCACATTATCTCGGCACGTGCCCAGAGTCTGCTGAGTCACTGCTGAGTCACTGCTGAGTCACTGCTGAGAGGAGTCAGGGAAGCAACAGCACTGATGGCACTGCACAGTCCCAGCTTTAGGGGAGAAGGTGGTCCCCTCCTGCACTCTGAGTATTGGAATGAGCGACAAAGGCCTTCTGAGGAGGTTTTATGTTCTGCACATAATGCACTGAACCGTCATGTGTTTGAACGACAAAGCCGACCTGAGGAGGAGGTGGTTTCATGGTCACTGTCCCCGTCTTTGCCCTCCTCACAGGACGGCCCAGGGCAGCTGTGGCCAGTGGGACGTGGAGCCTTCTTTCTCTTTCGCGACCGCTGGGACCTCAGCATGTTCTGCTCCACAAACTCCTTTGCCCCTTTCTTCAAACAAACACAGACTCGACTATTAATAGGACACATATTCGAAATGGAGTCAAGAAAAGAAAAATAGTGAAGTCCTGACCTGCAACAAGAAGCATTCCTCTCCACACGGCTCCGTCTGCATGCGGATCTCTTTGCTCTTCCGCTTGTAAACATTTGCCGTGGCGTGGAAAGCTGTGACATATTTGAACATGAGCTCACGTTGATTCAATAGTTGGAGAATGAACAAACTAAAGCAGGCCTTACGATGCAGAAAACAGTCGTATTTGAAGCAGCGTCTGCAGAAGAGCGTGTGGAAGGAATGCAAAGACTGCTCTCGCTGCACAGACTTGGCGTAGGGTCCATCCAGGCTGGGGGTGCAGAGGGGGGGCAGCTTCACCCGGGTCGACGGCTCCAGGAGGTCCCTGTACCTGGGCATTAAAGGGGACACAAGAACTTAACCCTTTAAAGTCCCCTCCCTGAAGAAAGTAATGTCATTTTGTTTTATAAAATGTAGGTCACTAATAACCAAAACATATGTTCATTTAACCCCTATAGTTTTTTCATGATAAGCCTCTGACAAAAGGTTGAGATTCAGCTTGATGCTCAAAGTGCCTAAAACTAAGTGAGTAGAGGTTAAAGGGTTAAAGCTGGGGTACATAAAAAATAAACAAACCCCGTATTTGTCCAACTGAAAAGAGTCTTGAGTCTCATAATTGTACCCATGTTCTATTTTGCATATTTGTAAGAGTCACTATTCAATCAGACTAACTTTATTTACAAAGTGATTTTCATACAAGCAAATGCAACATGAAGTGGTTTAATAATAATAATAATAATGCATCGGTTTTATATAGCGCTTTTTTGGACACTCAAAAATGCTTCACATGTCATTATTCATTCACTCCATACACGGTGGTGATAAACTACTACTGTAGCCACAGCTGCCCTGGGGCACACTGACAGAAGCGAGGCAACCAGTATGTGCCATCGGCCCCTCTGACCACCACCAACCATTCACACACACACCAGACTCATTCTAGGCAATGGGGGTGAAGTGTCTTGCCTAAGGACACAACAGCAGTTTGGCACTTTACAGCCGCAGCTGCCCCACTGTGGCTGGTGTTCCCAGAGGTTAAGTGTCTTGCCCAAGGACACAACACAGGTTGATAAATAGACTCCTCTATGTGTTATTCTTCATTTCATTAAAACAAAAATAAATAAATAAATGAATAAATATGCACATAAAATAAACAAAACAGCTTGTATGGCTTGGATCAAACAAAGCCTTCCAATGATTCACTGATCACTTTTTAAAGGAGAAGTATGTACAAATCTGGCCAAAAGTGGTACTATAGCCTCTCCCACTCTCCGACTCAGGTTGCCAGATATGCAGATGAATCCAGCTGGGACCATAACAGCTGAATAGACAAGAGTTTTGTAAAGTCT